CATCATTAGCCATAAGGGAAATGCAAATTAAAACCACAATGAGATATTATTTCACACCCATGGGATGGTTATAATCAAAAAGTCAGGTGCTGGTTAGAATGTGGAGAAACTAGAACTTTCATATGCTGCTGATAGGAATGTAAAATGGTGCAGCCACTCTGGAAAATAATCTGGCAGTCCTTAAAAAGTTAAATACAGCCTGGGCAACACGGCATGACCCTGTCTCTACAAAAAAAAAAAATTTTAATGAGCTGGGTGTGGTAGAACACCTGTAGTCCCTCCCCACTACTCAGGGAAGCTGGGGCAGAAGGGATTGCTTTAGCCCAGGAGTTAAGGCTGCAGTGAGCTACGGTCTGGTTACCGCACTCCAGCCTGAGTGACAGAGTGAGACCCTGTCTCCAAAAAAAATAAGGTTAAATATAGAATTACTATATGTCACAGCAATTCTACTCTTAGTTATTCATTTCTTATGAGAAATGAATCCCTACATCCACACCAAAGCTTATACATGAATGTTCATAGCAGCATTATTCACAATAGCCAAAAGGTAGGAAAAAACCCAAATGTCCATCAACTGATGAATGGACATAAAAAGTATCGCGTATTCATACAATATTATTCAGGCATAAAAAGGAATGAAGTACTGATACATGCCACATTCCAGTCGAATCCTGAAAACATTATGCTAAGTGAAAGAAGTCAATTTAAAAAACCACATATTATATGAAATGCCCAGAATAGGTAAATCTATAGAGACAGAAAATAAATTAACAGTTGCGTAGGAGAATGAAAGACAGGGGCCTATTAGTTGAAGTATCCAGGGTTTCTTTCAGAAGTGATGAAAATGTTCTAAAATTGACTGTGATGATGATGGCATATATCTTTGCATATACTTAAAATCATTGAATTGTGCACTTTAAGGGTGAATTGTACGGTATGTGAATGATATATCTCAATAAAGCAGTTAAAATGTCTTAAATCAATTAAGCACTCAAAAAAGTTAAAAAAAAATCAGAGTAAATCTAAGGAAATAGTAAAAGACAAAAACTGAAACTGAAATTGCTGAATTAAAAAATGAAAAGCTAAAAAGAATTAAATTTAAATCCAAGAGCTATTTCCTTGGATGAAAAAATAAAATAAATATGCTCCTGCCTAGTCGAATCAAGAGAAAAATAAAGTTATACCAAATTAGGAATGAGAAATGGAAATAACCACAGATGAAATCAAAAAAAAAAAAAGAAAGAATACTGTGTAACACTCCATTATAATGAACTAGAAATCCTTGCTGAAATGATTTTCTAGGAAAATCATAAATTACCAAAATTAACCCAAGAAAAGTAAGAAGGTATTGATAGACTATAACCCTGAAAGGAATCCAGAGGCAAAGTAGTTTCACTGGTGGTATTTTTCAAATATGCAAGAAAAATTTCTATGTATTTAGACTGTTTCAGAGCATAGAAAAATAAAAATCACCTTTTATGAAAATGGCATAATAATGATGCCTAATTGGACAAAGACAGGTCAAGAAAATAAAAAAACACTTAATACTATTATCATTATAAAATATTTATAAATAAAATCCAGCAGTTCCTTGAGAGAAAAACACACTATGACTAAATAGTTTTTATCCTAGGAACACAAGAAAGGATTAACAGTAAGCATAAAATGTGAATAATAGATCAAAAAAGATTGTGAAGTGAGCGGTGTAGATAAATTTGGAGATGGAGTACAGGAAGGTAAAGGAGTTCAGGCCTGTGTTTTCTCTTTCTTCTGTGAAAGGGTAATCTGCCGGTAGAGGGAATATGTTGAACACTGGGTAGGGGATAGAGGATGAGAGTGAAGATGGGGGGGAAAGCTGACAGAGGAAATATAAAAAGATTTCCAAGCACTATGATGACGCAGTTAAAAATTGGAGGCCAAGAATTTCTAGTGATACCAACCGACAGAACTGAATTATCTACCCCAGCACAGCTCAGAAATTTAGGTTGAGGAATTACAAGGAGAGGTGTCCAAATGATCTATAGCAGTTATCCCCAACCTTTTTGGCACCAGGGACCGGTTTCATGGAAGACAATTTTTCCACGGACAGGTTGTGGGGGAGGGGTGGTCATGGAACAGGAAGCAGAGTTCAAGCGGTGATGCGAGCATTGGGGAGCTGCCCACCCACTGCTCACCTCCTGGTGTGTTCGCCCCCCACCCAAGTTTCATGGAAGACAATTTTTCCACAGATGAGGGGGGTGGGTGGGTACTGGCCTGGGGGTTGGGGACCACAGGTCATAAAAACACAGCAAAGACTCTGAATCACTCGCCTCCCTAAACTTTTAAAAAGACTTGGTTATAATGCTGGTCATTTTACTTCAAATTTAAACAGTTCCATGGCTTAGCTCAGTCTCAATAACAGGACTACAAATTTAATCACCACCTTATACATCACACTAGAACACTCTTATTATCTAGTGAGAAATATATGAGAGTAAATCAAATACCTCAATTGTGTCATTTAATTGCAGAGTAAACTGGATGAAATTAATGTTTCCTGTTATTTGATCACATCCTCTGAATACACTGCATTAAACACAACATAACAAACACATCTTCTAAAAATTTCATAGTTCATAAATTTCTAGTAAGAAATATATTAAACATTTTCTCCTTTAAACATTTTCAACCTATGCCAGTAAGTTTTAATATGTCAGTGAACTAAAGGAAAAATTATTCTAATACTTATTGTATCATCTTAAAACTACCTTTAAACATAACACCACCTATACCCTCATATGTTTTCTGAGTTAAGAAAGAAAATATCTGATTTCTCTCAAAAAAAATTCTGGGGGGGAATACTCTGGGCTGCAAGAAGCAAGACTTTCTATTGCACATAGATGTTAAATGTATAATTTTCTCATATTGGCTGTAATAAGAGCTAAAGTGGCTTAGTTCAAAAATTCCTCTTCTAGGCTTCAAGATATAAATTTAAATATTAATAGTTATTCAAACAAGAAGTAATAGAACAAAATAAAAGTTAGAAGACTTAGTCCACAAGTGTGGCTTTAATTACCATCTCTATATAGATGACTTACAATTTGAAATCTCCAGCCCAGACCTCTCCTCTAATCTTTAAAACCACAATCATAATCTTAACACCTATCCAACCAATTCCATCACCTCTCTATGGCTACCACCGGCACCATAAATCTGGCCATATCTCCGTATTAACACAACCATTCATACGACGACCTAACACCTGGACACCTTACCTTCCACATTCAATCCATTATTAAGTATGATTATTTTGCCTCTCAAATCAGTCCACTTTACCCTGTATCCACCAACACTTCCCTATTCCAAAATATTATCATCTTTTGCCTGGCAATGCTGCAATGGTCTCCTAATTAGTACCCCCGACCCATGACTGCTGCTCCCCATTACAACCTGCTGTCACAGCTCTTCTCCACTCTGCTACAAAGCGATCTTTCTGAAACACAAATCTTATCATACATCTCCTTGTTTAAAACATTTTCACTGACTTGCCCAATCTCCAGGCATAAAGCCCATAAATCCTTGGCATAGCACACAACGCGCTGCAGTCTGTGCTCAGACCACACTAGCCTCCGGACCCTTGAAAATGCCATGCTTTCTCTAATCAACAGTACCTTCCATGTGCTTTTCCCTCAACTAGAAGGCTCTTTCCCTCCCTTTTGCCTACTCACCCTTAATCTGTAGTCAGATATCAGTTCTATGACAACCTCCTCAAGAAAGCTTTCTCCAGCTTCACTGACTTCCCCCGATCACCTTACTTTACACTTTCATAGCACGTTAGCACAGCTCAGTTTTGCATTTACTTATGGGATCATCTGAATTTTGTCTGCCTCTCTGTCTAGACCATGAACACTAGGAAGGCAGGGACCAAAAATATTTGGGTTCACCAATGTTTCCTTGGCATCCAGCACAATGCGTGCCATACAGTGAATGCTTAATAAATATGCTCAATGAATTAAGTACCCACTGGAATATTTATCAGGCAAAACAACTACTGCTCTTTAGTGATCAACAGTCTACAGCATCGCTGTGACGATGCAACTGTTCTACATCTGTACTGTCCAACATTGTGGCCACTAGCCAAGTGTGGAAAAGTGATGAGAACAACAGAAGCACTGAAGTTTTAATTTTATTTTTCACTAATTGAGATGTAAAGTGCCACACATAACCAGTGGCTACCGTATTGAACAGTGCAGGTCTTGCTCCTTGAAAAGCAGAAATTTTTTTAAAAACAGTAAATTAAACACATAGTCATTTTCAAAATGATCTTTGCAGCTCAACACAAAATTGGCTCTTTCTCCACTATGTATTACCTTATATTTTCTAGTTTTCCAGACTAGAACTGCATCACAAGCCTCTTACATTCCAAGTCCCTCCTATCGTTTGGGGACCCCTTTATTGTTACAAACAAAGACCCAGAGAAGCACAATCTGCCGGAAGCCTCTCAAGACAAACTGATCATGCAGTGTACACAATCCGCACTATTTCCTCAAGGGGAGACCTACACTTCAGTCAAGCGAATCTGCTAATTGTCCCCACAACAAGATAGTCCCTGGGCAACTACTCTCTCCAGTCCTACACCGCCTTTTCCCCTCCTTCAGGGCACGATATGCCCCTCCTCCTCCCGCAAGCGTTTCTTAACTACACACGCGGGGATTATTGGCTCCTCTGAACATCTGTTGTAGTTCAAAACGCCGAGGGCCCACCGAGAAGTCTCTGCCAGAAAGAATGGGTGACGTGGAGTAGTCTGCTAGCACCTGGGCGGGAGACGGGGCCCCTTACAAGCCTTTAAAGGCGCGTTTTTTATGTGGCAGGCAGTGTGACAGGCGGCGAGCAGGGCAGAGGGCTCAGGGCCCACCCGTCAGCCTTGCCCCTGGCGGCCCCTCACCGCTCCCCTGCCCGGCTCACCTTCTCCAGGGAGGGCTGCTCACCCTCCGAGTAGCGGCACCTCGCGGGGGACGGCGGCGGAGGCAAAGGCCCACCTGGGTGCGCCTGCAGCCAGGCCTTGGCTTCCTCGTCCTCGTCGTCGTCGTCGGTACTCTCCAGATGGTAGTACCCATAGTTAAAGTCGGAGTCCAACTTCCCCGCCTCCTCCTCCACCTCCTCCACCACCGCGACCTCGTCCGAGTTCGTGGCCTTCGCCGCCACCTCCTCCTCCTCCTCCTCCTCCTCCTCCAGCTCGCCCGGCCATGGCAGGTCCTCGGGCTCCATGTTGGTGTCTCGCGCAGGGCGGTGGGGGAGGAGGGGGAGAGGGGAGGGGGACGGGCGGGGAAGGGAAGGGAGCTGACTGGCGGTTGTGGCCGCGCGTAGGCGCCGCGCAGCCCGCCGGGGCGGGGCTGGGAGAGAGCGCGCGCGTTGCTAGGGACGCCCCGCGGGGGCGGGCGGGAAGGCCCGAGGTGAGGGGTTCGCGACAAGCGACGCCACCGCCTGGCTCCCGTCACGGGCTGGGACGTCGCTCACACTACTATAAGCTCACAATAAACTTGGGCCGGGCACCTCTCGGGGCGCAGAGGGCCTCGCGCGAGGAGAATCTAGCCCTTGGCTGGAGTTTTGTCCCTGCACTGAGGGGAGATCAAACCCTAAGACAAACCATGATAATCAAACTTGCAAATTATAAAGTTTTAAAGGTTGAGTGTCTACTACGTGACAGGCTGTATGGTGGGTGCTTGAACCTAATCATGGAAAAGTGTCAGGGGGTAGAAGAGGGGTTAAGAACCGGGCGCTGGCATCAGAAAGATCGGGGTTTGAATCCTGACATCACGACTTAAACAGCTATGTCCATGAAATGAGGGTAGGCCATCGCATAGGGTGATTTTGACAATTAAAAGAAATATACCAATATGAAGGACTTAGTGGTAGGTATTATTCGTTGATTATTGTACAATAACTCACTAAATACAGTTCTGTGGGACAAGTATTATTACCATTTCATGTTTGAAGAATCTGAGGCTCAAAAAAATAACTTGCCCAAACTCTCTTACCAAGAAAGTGGATGACTCAATAAACCATCCCAGGTCTTCTGTTAGTGCAGTAATTGCCCTGGCCCAGGATAAAAGAGCAAATATTTATACTGATGTTTTAGGGTGAATGATTTTGCAATGCTTTAAAAAGAAAGATTTCCTGATCACTTCAGGAACCCCTATAAAAATGAATGGCAAACTATAGAATCTAGAAATGCTTTCAGCCGGGCGCGGTGGCTCACACCTGTAATCCTAGCTCTCTGGGAGGCCGAGGCCGGCGGATTGTTTGAGCTCAGGAGTTCGAAACCAGCCTGAGCAAGAGCCCCCGTCTCTACTAAAAATTAGAAAGAAATTAATTGGACAACTAAAAATATATAGAAAAAATTAGCCGGGCATGGTGGCGCATGCCTGTAGTCCCAGCTACTCGGGAGGCTGAGGCAGGAGGATCGCTTGAGCCCAGGAGTATGAGGTTGCTGTGAGCTAGGCTAACGCCACGGCACTCTAGCCCAGGCAACACAGTGAGACTCTGTCTCAAAAAAAAAAAAAAGAAAAAGAAATGCTTTGCTATTACCTAAGGAAATAGTTATTTATTAAAGAAGTCTAGCAAAAATTCTTCATGGTATTACGCACAATATCAGAGATACACTAACAATGGTATTGAATCAACATTGGTGGGACAATTTTAGGGATATTGCCAAGAATGTAGCTCCTACCTGGCAATGACCCAAACCTGGCAAAACTATAATATAAAGGTAGAACATGGACTGGAGCCCAAAGCCTTGGAGCTCTGTTAAACATCTCTAAATGGACTATGAGTACATTAAGATTATTATTGTTTATTCTTAGGGCAGATTGAGGCTTCTCCTTGCTGGAGAGCTATGACTGTAATGGTAGAAAAAAATTTCTTGATTTTGGATTCCTGAATAGGAAATCCCATTGTATATCTCCAGTAACAGGAACACACATTTCACTAATATTGTTATTAAATAGTTCCGTGAAGCTTTACCTATTACTTAGAAACTCCACTATCTTTATCATCTAAAAATTTCGAGAAAAATAAAGAGAGCTAATGAACTTTCAAAGCCCAAAGTACTTTCATTTGCCTTGATGTCAGTAAGATCAATCCATTCTAAGAACCACGAGTTATCTCCTGAGTTAATAACAGGCTGCCTCAGTATTTGGGAATTCCTTCCAATACTAGATGCTACCTTAATACAAGCTGCTATCACTAATTGCAGCAGAGGATTCATAGGGTAATTCCTGCTTGATCAACAACAGGTAGAATCTGCATTTCCAAAACATCTAAGCAGCCTCTGCATGATCTGAAATCTGGAGATTTGGTCTCCTGAAAAAGCATCAGACAAAAAATTATCCTTGTACTTCAATGGAAAAGAACTCATAAAGCACTGTTAACAATTGAACCACCAGTAAAACTCCAAGACATTCATCCTTGGATTCATGTTATCCAACTAAAAAGACATGCATCATTTTCTCCTGACTACCAGACATCCATTCTATTGGAAGACCTCAAATTGAAAATTCCTGGGACTTCCCCAGAAGCTGCTGACTGCAGAAGTAGGCAGTTTATACTCAAGACAACAGGACAAGATTAATTTTCTGATTCTTCAGCGCATCTTTTACCCCACCACAAGTCTTTCTTATTATTGTTCTTCGATACCCTTAATTAACTAACAAATTGATTTCTAACTATTATCTCCCTTATCTTCATCCTGTTACTTTTGACTTCCTATGCCCTTCTGCCACTTATGAGAAACAACACTCTCTGGTGTGTTTTCTTAAACCATAGATATTGCTCTTAATTTCATTGTTGGCAAAATTTAATAGCTGCTCTTTTATAGACTTCATAAAGTAGATTTTCTTCTAGTGATCATTTCTGGTACTTAAGCTTTCTTCACGTAATTAATCCCAAACTTCAGTCTTATAAAAATTGGACCTTGACCCACACTTCAACACAATGTTTCTCTGAAGTCATTACAACCCTATCAGAAAAACCTTGTCCTTTAGGAATGGAAACTAATATTGGAGCTATTCTTGCTACAGTACTCAGTTGGGTCTCTTCAGAAGCATTCTGGCCTGCTTTGCAGAAACCTATTTAACTCCATTCAAGAAATCTGTGTAGGCTGGGCTTGGTGGTCCATACCTGTAGTCTCAGCTACTCGGGAGGCTGAGGGAGGAGGATCGCTTGAGCCTAGGAGTTTGAGGTTTCTGTGAGCTAGGCTGACGCCATGGCACTCTAGCCTGAGCAACAAAGCAAGGCTCTGTCAAAAGAAAGAGATAAAGAAAGAGAGAGAGGAAGGAAGGAAGGAAGGAAGGAAGGAAAGAAGGAAAGAAAGAAAAGAAAAGAAAAAGAAGGAGGAAATCTGTCTATCTTAAGGGAAAGAAAGTTGGTGCATTCCTGGTGTGCTAAATGATTCTTATACTCCCAATATAGTCTGTACTCCACTGGAGTACTACTGCTACTTCTAGTAGTACTAATACTACTTCTTTATGTGAACATCAGGCTTGCTCCCTTCTACTATGCACCAACTTATCTTGTGTATTGAAGCTAATTCTTAGAAACCCCCCGGTGTTTAAAATTACCACCCCTTCAGTGGATTATGTTTCTTTGAGAAGAATATCTAGAAACCAACAAAATGAGGCAAGCACAGAGTCACAGACCACTCAGGAGAATTCACTCTTCCTGTATACTCTGTGAATGAAATTTCCACAACAAAGATAATAGAACTCAAAAAGGAGGTCCAGGCCTGGCACGGTGGCTCACACCTGTAATCCTAGCACTCTGGGAGGCCAAGGTGAGAGGATCGCTAGAGGTCAGGAGTTCGAGACCAGCCTGAGCAAGAGCAAGACCCCGTCTCTAATAAAAAAGAATAGAAAGAAATTAGCTGGACGACTAAAAATAGAAAAAATTAGCCGGGCACGGTGGTAGTCCCAGCTACTAGGGAGGCTGAGGCAGGAGAATCGCTTGGGCCCAGGAGTTTGAGGTTGCTGTGAGCTAGGCTGACACCACGGCACTTTAGCCCAGACAAGAGAGTGTGACTCTGTCTCAAAAAAAAAAGGAGGTCCAAAACTTGTCTCTGACCTTAGCAGACCTCATAAAAGGCATAACTTATGCTGTAGAAACTCAACAAACCAGTTAAATTTGAATTCATTAGCCAGAGTTTTCATGGACAATTATGTAGCTCTTTATTTCCTCTTAGCTAGCCAGGGGGGAATTTGTGTTTAGCAACACTTAACTGTTGCACTTACATATTGCAAGGCTAGTAGAACATGACTAGGCTAAAAAAGAAAAAAGAAAAGAAAAGAAAAGCCATCTTCCTTTCTAAAACAGGTCCCGCTGGATTCTGGGGCATGTTTTCATTGCCAGGATTTTATAATCTGGACCCCTGGCTTCAAGACTTATTACAAAAGGAGATAATCGTTTTGTTTTTGGTAACTGCTTTTTCTGCACTTGGTGGATACAACCTGTCCAGAGTCCTAAATGTTTCTGCACAGCCATTGTCATATCATATGATTCAACAAGTCATCCTGTAACAAGAGGAGGAGGGAAGGAGGAATTAACCCTAGTCCAATTACAGACTAAATTCTTCAGATCATCATAAACTCAGCAATCGTGAAAATCCAATGTCATAGATTAATGTCCTGTGGACCGACTCTGTCTGTCCTTGACCAAAGTGGGGACTGAGAAAATAAATCTAGGGCATCTCGGAACTGATTAGTTATGACACTAATATCTAAGTATGACACGTTAGTATGACACTAAGCTTCAGAGTTGGTAGGAGTTGGCCTGGCATTCACAGCTATGCTATGACAGTCTCCTATTGAGCATAAACAATCTCACAGAACACCAATATCACACAAGACTGTGGTGTGACTGTGATGAAGCAAGACAAAGAAACAAGACCACTTCATAAGTTTATCTAAGCACAGACATACCAAACATCCCACTCTTCTAATTTGATTGCTGCTGCTTTTACCGATTATAGCTCTAGTGTCACCGTATACCTCTTTTCTTCTATATAAGATTTATTAAGATGCCCAATCTTAGAATTACCGCCTCATCTTGACAGCATCCAATTCAGAGCAAAGCCCTGATTCTTTAAACATCTCCTCCAAATCACCTAACACAAGCCCAAATCCTTAAACTCCTAATAACATCCTATTAAGGAGATAGCCCATGATCCCACACGGTATGTATTCTCCCTTGTTGCAATGAACGATAAAACCAACTTT